TGTCGTGTCAAATTTTGACAGTTCTACTTATGACTCATATTATTCAATAATTTAGAATCTATTACTAAAAGACAGTTGTTTTGAAACTTTAATACCAAAATTCGATATTTTTGAACTTATTTATCACATTACGACACTTTTTAAAAGTAGAATCAATAATTCTGTTTTTATTTAAAAGTGGATTCAATAACTCTGCTTTTGTTAAAAAATGGATCAATGATCCCGCTTTTTAAAAAAAAATGTGGTCTAAAATAATGAGCTGAAACAAGTTAAAAGCGTGGTTACTAACCACACTTTTAACGTGTTTCAAACTAGCTTCTCTCTACTCTCTCTCTCTCTATGTTGGGTCTTTGTTTGCAATGTACATTTGATTTGGTAAGGAAATCTTGAATCCAGTGAAAGCTCTTCCCTGTGGCACTTCTCAGCATAGTTTTAAAACCCGGCCCGGACACCAACCCGGAGGAGGGACGGGGTCAATGAATTTCTGGTTCAACCACTGGGTCACTGGTCGAACCAGTGATATAATAAAAAAATAAAAAATAATTATTAATGATGATAAATAGACTAAAAAATTAAAATAGTTATAAAAATAACATGTTTAATATATATTAAATCAAACAAAGTTATCAAGCCTGAATCACTTAATTGCATTCAATTAACAGCCCAACCTCCACCCTCAAACTTGAATTATTTAATTGTATTCACTTAATTTTTGAGTTAACAAACACTGAACAAATGATTTAGGATTTAGGGCAAAACAGAAGGGGAAAAGAAAAAGACACAAAAATGTAAAAAAAAAACATATTTATACTAAAGGAACAAAATCGGCCGGTTTTGTAAACCCAGTCCGGTTTTGACCGGTTCACCGGTTTTATTCCGGATTTTTTGCTCAAACGGTCCAATTATAAAACCGGCCCGGTTATGGGACCGGTTCACCGGGTCAACCCGCCGGGCCGGGCCGGGTTTTAAAACACTGCTTCTAGGTTTTGTTCAAGGCTTTGCTTGAGGACTCGCAACGACAGTGAGTATCTAGTTCTTCTTGATCGATCTTTGATTGGAACTCACTAGCTTCATCATTTATGGGCTTTTCAAAATGCAAATTTTTTGTTTGGATCCATTGAAATGCAACGATGGGTCCGAGTCTTTTAGATCTACTAGAAAAGAAATTTATGTTCTTTGTGAAGGTTTCCTATGTTATGCTTGAATCCTATGTTAAGGGTGTTGTGAAACCGGCTTCAGCTTGTGATTTTGCTGTTTCTAAGAGAAGAAAGATGTGTAGATGATTGAGGTCTCATTTGGCAACTAGGGTTTGGAGTTTAAATCGTGAACAGGGCAATTAGTTGCTCCGGAGTCGATTTAAAGGGGAAGGTTTGTACATTTGTGATTATATGCCTGGTTGTGTTCACATGTGAATATGTTAGTGTGTAATGCGTGTTTTATTTACACGTCTTTCCAAAAATTCGTGTTTGCAATACACGCTTTTTTCATTGTCTAAATTTTTTAAAAACAGAATTGTTGAATCCAATTTTTAACAAAAATAAAATTATTAAATTTACTTTTAAAAAATATTATAATTTGACAAATAAATTTAAAAATACCGTATTTTAATATTAAAGTTTCAAGACACGTGGTTTGGTAATAAATTCCAAAAATTCATCTCTCCAAACTCCCGCATCTCGTTCACTTACTTTCTGTCACATTTATTGTTAGTGTCCTTTTCTTTTCTATTCCACACAATTTTCCTTTTCCATCTGTTTCCCTCTCTGTATCACACAGGCGATCATGTCCAAGACCACCCATTAGTTAAAAAAAAATAAAAAAAATTGCAATATGAAAAACATAAACTACACAAGATCTGTTAAAACTCACTCTCTTTCTTGGAAATACTTACGGTTTCCATCAAAAATTAGCAACCCTTTATCATCAAAATTTGATTTTGTATCAAATTAAATTTTTTACTAAAATATTAATTCAAAATTTTCAATGCCAAATCAAGTTTTTTTATGAAACTCGCATACCCAAATTTAAAAAAAGATAAAATATTTGGCAAATTTGCAAATTCAAATTAACAATCATCTATGGACAATTTATCAGGTTGATTCGGATAGTGTCAATATATTTTAGTAATCAATCTCCAAATTTTCAATCATCTATGGCCAGGGTCGAAATCTGGGCTTGAATGGTTTGGACTGTCTTGCTCTTACGCTTGCAATTTTGAGTGGTGGTGGAGGCGGCTCCAGAAAGAGATGGGGACCACAGTACTCCAGATTGACGTCTCACACCCTTGTGGTCGCAAATTTCTCTTTCTCTTTCTCTTTCTCTTTTTCTTTATCTGAGTCTGGGTACGGATCTATCTGTCATTATTTGCCCCCAAGGAAGACTTGTGTTGTTGTTCAACGTCGGACTGTTTTGTTGTTTTCTTAGAATAAAAATCATGCACTTCAAGTGTTCGAATAAATTACTCTGAAAATGACTCTTCTTATTTTACGTACTTTATGAGCAATTGCAGTATTTTCAACCATAACTCATATTTTTATTTAAATTTAAATTAAAATTTGAATAAAAAATTTGATTTGATATAAAAGATTCTAATGGACAAACTCAAATTTAAAGAATGAGAAATTCAAATTTAAATAAAATAAACCAAAATTTAAAAGGAAAAAAAGATGACCATCAGATCTTTAAAAGATAATGAAATTTTATCATTAAAGATTTGAATCTCTTTTGATTTGAGTAAAAAAATAAGTTTTTTTTGATTTAGTATAAGTTTGAGTTAAGGGTTGAAACAAGTTTTTAAAATTTTTTTACTCAAATTTAAATTTAAATAAGGGTGGGAGATGCGCCATCCAAAAAATATTTCTTTTTCTTTCTTTCCACATTCTGAAATCATATACACAAAAAAACTATGCACTCCACCTTTTTGAAAAAAATACTATGGAAAATGGCTTTTCATTTTATCTTACATTATCTCGAGGAAAAATTTCCACTCACACCCATTTTAATTTATCATATCATTAAAGGCACCTTCTCTATTTTTTAAATTTTCATTGACATCTCTAGATTAAAGATGTTAATTAGAATATTATATTTTAAGAAAAACTTCATTCACGCTTCCTTTAAATAGGTATATCTTTAATGAAACCTCATCTATTTGCTAATTTTTTTATATATTAAAATTTAGACTGATTAAAAATTAGGCCGAACTAACTAAATTTTTTTTTATTAAAATTTTAGTCGATTAAACTTTTATTTGAGATTCAAATCCAATTTTAATCAACTCGCTTTAAATTTTAATCCGCCCGACTTTTCATATATACAAAAATATAAATTTTAACCAACTCAAATTTTAATATATAAAAAATAAATTTTAATAAATAAAAAAAATATAAATTTTAATCGACTTGAAGAAAATTTTAATTAGGACTAACAACTCAAGTAGAGCTCAAATCGACTTAAATTTTAATACGTAAAAAAAAATTTAATCAATTTGAATTGATTCAAATTTTAATATGTAGAAATTTTTTTTTTAATCAATTTGAATTTTAATATATAGATAAATAAATTTTAATTGGCTATAATTTTAATCAAATTTTATGTATAAAAATTGTTTGAGATTTATATAGGAGCAATTTTGGTATTTTAGATAACTTATTTTTATTATAAATGATAATTTAATAACAGAGGATGTTAGTAATGTTTAAATATAAAATAGAAGGGGTGTTAATAATATTTTTGATAATAGAGAGAACGTTTTTAAAGATATAATAAACTAAAAATAGTGTGACTAACATTTTCCCTATTTCCGAAAAAAAGGGTTTATTGTCACTATCTTGTGGTGGTTTAGGTGCATGAAAAAAAATTTCGACAACCCAAGTTTTTGAGTTTTTCGACAACCCAAGTTTATGAGTTTTTTAAAAAAAAATTATTTTAACTTAAAAATTTAACCCAATTTACCGACTCGATTTTTCCATAATTTTTGAATTGATTATAGATTCCATTAAATTTACACATTCTTTAGTAAGTATTTTGATTTTCAATTCAGAAATGATTAATTTTCTTACACAGATTTTTTAAAACGTCATTTTTTGTTGTTTTGTGAGAGAACAATTAATGCTCTCCACATGTTTGAATCCGATACTGGTTGCCATTTCGATGCTTCTTAATTATAAATCCATACATATACATATCTATATCTATATATATATATATATGTATTTGTTGATGATATATATATGTATCTTGTTCTTCTTCGGTCATGATGGGTTCTGAGGAAAAAAAAAAATTGATGGTTCCGTTTACCCTTTGGTAAGTAAAAAAGATAGTCTCTTCTCTTGTTTGTTTCTGGGCTTTTTATGTTCCCCCCCCCCCCCCCCCCCCCCCCCC